ACCACGATGTTTCTCGTGCCATTGTTCGTCCTCCTGCCAGGACTCATCACCGCCGGCTCCTGTTTTCTTCTCGCTGTCGTCGAGGTGAAGAGAACAACAATTGAAAACAACATTCATTACAATGAAATGTCTTCAAACCTCAGATGGGATGAAGAGCTCAGCCTCTCGTGAAACTATGGTTCAGAACAATCAGATGGAATACGATGGGATCGTATCTCACTGGAAAACAGGCTGCTTTTATTGAGCGGAGCAGATGTAGAATACACTGGGGTATTAGTGTCCACTTCTGGACTGCTGTTGATTCACTTACTGACAAGTCCAGGATTCAGATGTGTGAAGGCTGTCATACAGTTTATTATTGGTGACAATAAACATGTCCAACGTCTTTAAAATCCGAAATCACTGACCCATTTCTCGAATCTCTTCCTTTTTAGGGTTTTTCTACAAAATGTTTTTCCATCAGCCTTAAAAAGAAAAACGACTGTAAGACTCCTGAAAAAGACAGAACATGATGCGAGTGTCCCGGAGCAGCTTTGTGGATTATGCATCGGGACGACCCACTGTGACTTGTCTTGACACCGCTATTACTATGAAGACTTACATAGAGAACAATAGCAGCGGGGGGTTGACACACGTCAAACGCAACCACTGCTTTAGTCTGTATCTTCTGACAGCGCTGCAGGATAGTGGCACATACGGTTCATTGTGACCCATGTGGTTTGATTCCCACAACAAAGCCGAGGGAAGAGTCTGGAGAGCTGCTCTTTCTCAGAGGTTAAATTAACCAAATGTGCTGCAAAAAAACAAAACAACTGCTTGACGTCTTTTTTGCTGTGAAATTAAAAGTTTGTGGAAAAGTCCAATTGAACAGACTTCATGTCTCTCAGCCGAAGAAGTTTTTCTACTTCTGCATCTTCTCTTTCTGTGGCGTGCCGAGAATTACTCCTCATTACCGACCCATAAAGCAGCAGGGCCGAAAAATGCTTTGTTGCTTCATGCTCTATTACATAACACAAGGATTTCTCATCTCTGGGCAATAATGGGCAATGTGTGTCCGTGCTAAACAATGGGCGGTGAGACACAAATTGGCATTGTTCTCTTTACTCGCTCAAACTTTTTGATCTCATGGACCCACAAAACAGCGTCGGCTTCCCCAGTGTTTTCACAACATAGCAATTATACTTATTTCAGTCGGTAGTTCTCTTCTCCTCGAACATGGAATTCACTTTGGCATTAACGCGACATTACAACTATGTTATACCTACATTACTTTTTCAGGCGGCCTCTAGTGGCTGTAGTAATTTATGACAGGAGTGAATGAGGGAGTTATGTGAGGTTGTACGTTATGGACTGCCGTTTTAATCAAAATTAAATAAATGAATATGGCTATGAAATAAACCCTGAAATAAAAACATACGGCATAAATATATAAATACAGCATAATATTAAAATATAACTGAATCCATTTACTTAAATAAATACAAAAGTCAAAATGTTTTTCAATGACTTTTATTTCAGGATCCTTCAGGATTATTTCCATTCTCGCAAATGCAGGGGGTGTGGTTATCTTCAGACCAAAGCGGGTGGGGGCCAGGAGCAATGTCGTCTTTTGAAAAACATTTTGAATTAGTAATTATATTTATTTAAGTAAATGGATTCAGTTATCTATTTATATTATGCTATATTTAGATATTTATTGCCATGTATTTTTATTTCAGGGTTTATTTCATAGCCATGTTAATTAATTAATTAATTAATCTATTTATTTATTTATTTACCCATTTATTTATTTAATCTAGATTAAAACAGCATTATGCAGCATTGGAAGGAGGTTCAGATGGTTTTGTTCCCTGTCTATAAACCATCACCTGTTTCTTTTATCGATGATGTTTCTATGACCTGTTACCATGATGATTGTGGTTTACTTTGGTTTTTATTGGCTGGAGGACTTTACAGTTGCTGAGAGCCGCAGTTTTCAGCTACAAAGGGCAGCAGGGCGTCTGTTCTACTTTCAAAATGTGCGCAAAACATTTCTGTTTTGTGTCAAATTGAAAATGAAATAGTTATTGAGCGTACAAGATCCTATTTTTATTGAACAGACATGAATAAAAGAATCTACAAAATGGCAGACCCAGAGGTGATGTGGTGTCGTCTGCTTTCTGTCAGTACTTCAGCATCTCATCCTCTCACATCTGTCTGTCGTCCAGCTGTCTGCAATAATCCTTCTCCCTCCGTCCCACCTCCTTCCATACCAGGGGCCTCATTCAGAAAACAACATGCATCCATACTAAAATGTACGTGTGCACCAAAGCCAAAAATCCCATGCACTACATTTTTTCAACCTGTGCGTGTGCCCACCTGCAGGCAGTGTTTTCTAAATCAGCGTGCCTGGAAATGTAGAGGACGGGATATGAGGCTGACCCACATGCACACATTCAAACCATAAATACTCAATGCAAAGAACTTTATTAATTTATTAATCAACGGGTACGGTCTATGGTCAATCGTAAAGAATAAGGAAAGGGACACCAACTTTTGTCAGTAGTTGTGATTTCTGATTGTGCAAGAGTTGGCACTGGTTTTATTTCCATCTTTTGCTAATTTACACGATCCATACATGTGTACGTGTCTCCAGCTTTGTGTTTTTTTTTCAAACGCTCTCGCACACCCTCCGCACTGAAATTGTAAAATTCACTGACAACAAGGTTCAACTTTCGATCAAAGACGCACAAGAAAAATTCCTCAACCACTCTGACAAATTAATAATAATCACATGTGTACAAATGTGAAACCTCTGCACGAGAGTGAACGGGAGAAAAAAGAGCAGAAACTCCAGGACAGACCTGAACCAAGCAAAGTGATGCTGAGCAGGAGCCGTCATAAATAACGACCTGGAACCCTACTTGTTTCTTGGAACTCAGCTCATGTGAATTTTATTTTACCGTCGTTATTTATGGCAAACAGTACTTGTTTTCATTTGATGTGACAGATGTTGGACAAATATGTTCTTGCCCACCCTGTTTCCACTTGTACTTGCTGTTAATGTGTTTTCGCCTCTTTTTAAGATTTAAATTGCTCAAATGATTTAGTGCTGCAATTTGACATTTTCTGACCAACACAATTAAAACAACAACATGATAAATTAGTTCCTGTGCCTCATTAATAAAGACATAATATTCACTTTTAGCTCTGGTTTGGTCACCACCATCTAAACACTGTTATCTACTCTGTTCATCCACGGACTGTGTCTGAGAATGTTGTTGCAAAAATTAAATAATATAATTTTAAACCCAAAAATATTGACTAGCAGCATCTCACATATGACTTAATCTAAAAGTTGAATTAAAACCTGATGCCAAAGTTACAACCACAAAACATTTGACATGATGAAATCACCTTTTTGCACTTTGACATATTTCATAAAGTGTCTTTTTTAAAGGTTCCTACGTGTAGAAAAAGACTTTATTTGTGATATGAATGATGGAGAGGTTGAGTAAAAAGTTTTCTTTCTGCTTTAACATCCAGTTCATCACCATAAACTTTTCACCAGGCCTGAATCAATGGTCGTCCAGACTGCTTGTATGAAATGTCTGGACGTTTGCTGACTGGAGTGTTTTCAGAGATGCATGTGGTGATGAAGGTTTACAGAGCATGAGCATCCTCTTCTCCCTGATCGTCTGAGTAAATTCTATTCAAAATATGATTCAAGGTCAGATGAACCACTGAGAGAAGCAGACGGCAGACAGCTCTCTGTCCTCCGGATTAAAGCTCTGCTCTGCAGACAAAATAACAGGAAGGCTGCAGGGCCAGACCATGTGTCTTCCTTCACTTTCAGGTGCTGTGCCAACCAGCTCTCCTCTGTTTTCAGATACAGACTCTTAGGCGATGCAACGTTCCTGCATATTTTAATCTGCTGTTGTTTTTCCTGAACCCGAGACATGTTGTCTGTTTTAACGACGATAAGCCTCTTGATCTAACTTCTGTTACGAAAAAGATATTTGAGCGACTGGTCTGTAATCATCACAGACCTGCCTCGGTTTGCCTGTTCTTGTGCCCAGACAGTATCCCGCAGCACCGACAGACCCACGCTCCTTTATTATCAGGGGTTTCATTAGTGAAATCTCTACACACCAGCATCTGAGACTTGCTGACAAATGGAAATCAATTAAGATAAGACACATTCTTTGTGGGCACTGATTCCTCAACACTGGGTCCCATCAGGGCTGTGAAGTACTCACTGTAAACCAAGGACTTAACCTCTGTAGATATTTATTAGTAAAAGATATTTCTTTCTAAGAAGCATGGCTGTGACCTTCCCTCCGTCTCCTTCATGCATTAGACATAAGCTGCAGATGGTGATCATTCTCCGAGGCCTATTTTTCAAACTCTGTTGCACAAGCATGTAGACGGCGCGCACATTGTGTAGCTGAAGAAGAAAAAGAAGAAGAAGACAAACAATATCAGCACTTACAAGTTTAGCAGCTGTTAAGACCTATAATACTATATGTATATCTTTATAATTCAATTATTAAACCAGTTTTTATGTATATTCATTTATTTATGTGAGTTTTGTCTGTGAGTGTTGCACTGCGGCACATTACAATAATTTGAGTCGACATAATATGTTCTTTTACCCCGCGCCTCCAATATTTCCCCAAAACAGAGCATTTAATCCTTTTACACTGGATCAAATGTTCCGTCATTACCATGAAATTACACAATGCAGTTTGTTTTGACTGAATCCCACACACACACACACACTGTGCAGCCTCTAGAAATACTAAAGCAACAATTGTGTGTTAATCCACCGCTGAAAATGGTCCCCAACAAATAAAGAGTTTCCTCTTGCTTGAGAAGCAAATAATTACAGAGCCCGGCAAGTTCAGCGAATTCACTCACCCATCTCGGGAAAGGAAACTTCATATGTTTGAATTGTTTTATTGATTTATGTCTCAACTAACGACCCACAGGCAATTCAAGGGAAGTCAGACACTTGACTCAAACATGTCGGTTGGAAATTTCAGCAAACATCCAATAGGATTTGCCTTGAGGGCTGAATAAGACAAAGAACACTGTCATTGAAAACGTCGTACAGGACTTTATTCTTACAAAGGTTCTTAAAATGTAATGATAATGCACGTTCGTGTATTTCTGTGTAAAAATAAAGCAATATACAAAATGGTTTGAGCATATATTCTATCTATGCATGCTCTAAAAGCTCAAAGTAACATAAAAAAGTTTTTATTGATGAGTTTCATAGCAGTGCTACAGGCGTTACACCCTGTAGGAGATTTGGGAACGTTCACTGTGGTGCAGTCCTCTCTGATAAAGTGCTTTCATGCAGTAGACGTAAGGCAGATCTACGAATCCTGGACCAAACCAAGACGCGATTCCCCTCACTTCACGTAGCCTGCTTTAGCATGAAGCTCTGCTCTGTAAGCTTGGAGCTGGGTCGGGCAGCACGTGGCCAATCAGCAGCGGGGGTTGCCCATTCGACAGAAACACACAGTTCTGAAGAGCCGACACTGGCAGAAGGCACAGAAATCACAGCACACATTGCTGGGGGATTTACAGCTTCCCCACAAGGGAATGCAGTTAGCGGGAGGAGGCGGCCGCTTCGCAAACTTTTTCTGACAGAACGAAAGAGAAGGACAAACAATGCATGTGAGCAAACTTTGGAAACGGTTCATGCTCTCGTTAGATCTTAAAACTCCAGATAAAGACATAAACCACACACAACTTCTTATCAGTCCTTTAAATATACCTGATTTTCCCCTGACATACTAAAATACTGCATCCGTCCGTTCTTTAGTTTTTGTGTAATGTTACAAACAAAAACTTCCTCGATTGGAGGTAAAAAGCCAAAACTAAACTCTGTCTTCACCGTATTTAGTTTTTATTTTATACAACATCTACTTCACTTTTAGTTCTGCTGAGTGGTTGATGGTTAAACGTGGTCTGTGTAGAACTGAACACATTCTTTCGAGGGCGCTTTGATTCGTATCAGACAGAACGGGGAACCTCACTTGAATTTTGGGTCTACATCATTGAGTTTCTCATTGTACTCTATCCTCCATGTGTTATAAATTGGAAGAAGTTTTTTTTTTTTTAAAAGAAGCAGAATCTGTCTTTTACTACATCTCCTGATTTCTGCTTCACATCTTTCCTTGACCTCATGATGTTTCTCATCAAGGTCAAAGACGAGAGGACTTTATGTTTTCTGGACTTTTGGACCCACCTCCTTTTTATCAAGCCTCATTTCTGTCCAGACCTTCCTCCAGATTCTCATTTCTATTTCTTACACCTGTTCCATCTTCTCTTCCGGCAGCATTAACTTGTCCCCACGCCTGCAGCTCATTTCATGATCAGCTTTAGACTTTACTCTTCCTCTGTTTAGTTTTCCTGAACTTATTCTTTAAGTTCTTCCAGGTGTTTTGCTGCCTGACGTTGGATTTCCTGCTTGAATTTCATTTCACTTTTTTCCATCCATCTGTATGGAAGCCAGTTTTTTATCTACAGTAACTTCAATGCATCTGCTCCTTTCACATATACATCAATATTCATAATGTGAAAACAGAAGATTGTGAAAGAACAAGAAATAAGTTTGGACCATGTGATTGATTTTGACTCGACTTTGCAAACAGTATTTGTGGTAAAATGATCTCAACTTTTTGTGGTTGTGGTCATTTTGTTACACGTGTAGATTTACTTTACGAATAATAAAATATTCTTCGCAACATTTCTAAAATTAACACGATCACCTGCTGTCAACATGCATCGTATTCTCACCTTTTTTTGTTTCTTTGCTCTCTTGCTCTTTGCTGATTTGGGTAACTCTGAAAGAGAACATTAGAAAATGAACTAAATAACTGGACACTATATATAAAGATTTAAAGATGGACGACACCTCTTCACTTCCTACTGTCCAGGTGGCAAGTCCTGTTAATTATAATTTTATTAATTTTGACAAATCATGATTCAGTCTCGCCTGTCAATCATGGTGTTTCAACCCATTTTTATTTTATATAAAATAAGAAATTAAAACTAATTTTACTGGAAAATTTGATGTGTAATTTGATCATTTGTTATCTCCATGTCCCGCTGGCTAACATGGAGGAGGCAGGGTTTTTGGCTTGTTGTGCAATCAAGATGATTCGGCTTAATTTTCGCAGCGCTGTCATGTCGTCCATCTTTATTCGGAGTTTAATTAACAGACTGTTGCAGAAAATAAAGTCAAACTTACCCACGATAACGACAGGGGGGGGGCCGATGTCGAGGCTTTGAGACACGATGTTCGATACAACGACCTTATTGGTGGAGAGTCTCTCGTCGGGGATCATGTGGGCAGAGCCGAGAAAGTACTCTGTGGTGGCGAGGACAAAACAGCCGAGCAGCAGGAAGGAGTGCATCTTTCTCTGAAACGAAAAAGGGACAATACATATTTTTATTCGAGGAAATAAGAGGCTCAACTTTCCCGGCAGGAATTTTAAGAGTTCAATTTTCACTTTCTGTCAAATTAAAATCATCCTGGAACACAAGTTCTGAAATAGAGATATGTTTCGTGTAACGACGTGTGAATATCGGGACTGTGTGAGGTGTGTCTGTGCCCGCTCGCCCTCAGCATTGCATCAACTGTTTGTTTGCTCGGACCTTTGGAAGCCGGCTTACAGTAACAGACTTCTGTTGCTCCTCCAATTGTTCCAATATGTGTTGCCATCCACAAAATCCCTCTTAATAAATGCCAGGTGGTCCTTTGTTAAGAAAAATAACCGGTCCCCGATGTTTCTTTGCAAATGCAACACAACGCTTCTCAATTGTCATTGCAAATAACCACGTTCTCCTTTTCCCTGACAGTCGTCTGATGATGAAGCTGCTGCTGCTGCCTCGCCTCAGGCTTCATCAGTGTTTCCTCCCGCAGGTCTTAGCGGGAATTGAAATAAACTCGGATGCAGCTGCTGAAAATTGGCAGCAAAAGGTGGAAAAGAAATGTTTTCTGCTTTGGCTGTCTCCTACTGGCAATAAATGATACGTTCAATACACTCATCATGTCACAGGTTTATTTCATTACAACTGTAACCTCCAATCTGATTTCACACTTCTCCGGGCCACACGGCAGCAAAGACCTTCCGTTGACTTTGTTGTATTTTATAGAAGCGGAGTCAGAGGTGGGCTGACGTTGAGCTCACAGATCCGTTGATGGCATGATAATGTCTTCAATAATAAAAGGGCACAAATTACGATAATTGCCTCTTTAAAAGGTCTTCAGGCAATTACTTTTAATTGCTCCCAAATGGCTCTGTGATCTACCAAAGTCAACATCCCTAATTAGGGTTCTTGAAAGAAGGGATTTAAGACCTCGATACTTTATACTTTTATCAACTAGCCCTTGCTGAGTCACTGATGGAACTCTGCTGGTTCGAGTTATTTCGCTTTTGCTATCGGAGACCACACGTGAGGGCGGTTTGTCTTCAGCTTCTGTTAAAGGTCCAGAGGACGTATGATCCCCTGAAACAAGGAATCGCTGTGTTTTCGTTGTCTTATAAAAGGTCCACATCTACTGAACACAGGCAGCGGGTCCTCTTCCACCGAGTCAGACATTTGTACCACCATGTTTCTACGGTGGCCCGCGATGGACGAATCACACACTGGCAGTACAGAGAGGGACTTTTGTGGTAGCTCAAGGCCACCGTAGACTGTAAACAAAGACAGACGATAAGACACCTCCCCAAAAGTGAAGCCACACATCTTGATTGTCCCCTGGTGGCTAGTATGGGACATTAACCCAACGTCCTCACATCCGTTTTGATTGATTTCTGTCAATCAAGACATTTCTTATCACACTGGTTTATGTTCAAGTGTTAATTTTTCATCAGTTACTTGATGGATGGTCGAACGTGTGTTTTGACAGAACTTCACTACTGCGGCTCAGAATGCTGTCACTAAAGCAAGATGGCTTATTTCCTAAATGGTGGGAGGAGGAGTCGTGTCATCCATCTTTACAGTCTGGTTCTCCTAAACACTTAAAAAGGGAGATGGGGTGAGGAGTATTCATGTGAGCTGCGACTTCACCACTAGATGCCACTAAATCCTACAAACTGATCATTAAAATAGTTCTGTGGAGATATTTGATATATCCTGTTTTAATCCTGAAGGTCCGTTGGATTGTTCCTCTTGTTCTCTTTGCGTCGACTGGTTGTGTTTCTTTTTGTGAGGCATTTTTAGATTTTGGCTCATATCGGTAAGAACAATTCTATAAAAAACCCAACGCGATAGCTTCAATGCACTTTGGCCTTAATTCTCCATCTGGAGGGGTGAACACCCTTCATCCATATTGTGTTTGGATGATTGAGATGGAGAGAGCTGTCTAAAACCTCCTGCAGGTGTTCAGCTGGGTCGAGATGTGGTGACCGCAAAGGGCATAGAATATGATTCACACCGATTCATTGTCATACTCAACAAGCCAGCTGTCTTTCTAAAATACTGGGCAGACGAGCAGATTCAGTTTTTATCTCTTCTCAAGACACATCTCTCTAAAAAAAAGCTTTTATCATGTGATGTCTGTTGCTGTTATTATCTGTGTAATTATTATCACTGTTGTTCGTTGTATAAAAAAGTCTTAGTCCAGTGCATACCAGCACAATTACACAATTAGATAAAGGTTTGACGTAACATTAGCTACGAAGACATGTATGAAATCAAGAAAAACATCTGACGACACAAACACAATAACAAAATACCAGATAAATGTTCATAAACCAAACTTAATCCAGAGCCAGGCTGAAAAAGTTTACGTATAAAGATTTACAAACTTCCAGCTGCTCTCAGCTCCTCGGGGAGACTCTTCAATAAAAGCTGCCTCACCACTTCTAAAAACTAACACAATGAAGCCACAGCAACTCGTCCTGGTTCAAACTCTGAGAAAGTCGACCATCCCGCACTTCAAATCCAAGTCATTATAGAAACTGACAGGTGAGCGATGGTGAGGGCTTTAAAACAGGTGTTGTGTGTTCTCTGTTTCAGCGGCCGCAGACCTCTGGATCGTCCGTAGCGGACTTTTGGATCGATGGAGAGTATTACATTAGTAGAGCCTGCTCAATATAAAAGCATGAATGTTTTTTCCCTCTACTCAAAGGTTGCATGTCAGTATGTTTTTCAAGTGATAAAAAGCAGATTTGGAAACGACCGTGTGACCAATTTTCTCTCTGAGTTTTAGAACCTATGTAAAAAAAATAAAAAAAAAAATCTGTTTTTTAAAATGTCCACACACGTGTGTTCAATCATCGCTGCCACTCCTGAGTTTTCTTTCTCTGATATTTAATCAAACGTTTTACTCGGTTTGAGCCTCGAACACAAATCAGAAGTCACTAAAACGGAGACTTCATAAAAGTCCCACAAATTAAAAAAAAACTGGTTTCTGTGTTCAGTTTGTGAAGCGATGATGTCACCGCTCGTGTTGTTCTGTGTGGTGAGACTGCACCAGAAACAACAATGCGTCTATAAACCGGTGTCTCTACGTTTGGTTAGCACGGTGAGCTGTGATTACGTGTTTGCTGCTAGATTTAGCATCACTGCGGAGATATTTATGACCTTTGGAGAAAATATTCTCAACCTGCCTCGTTTGCGTTTGGATCCAGAAAACCTCACAAATGATCCCGAGACACAGTCACATGAAGTTGTGTGTCTTCAGCATAACTTTGTAAACAGACGTCTCCTGATGACATCACGTTGGTTTGGGAGTTCAGAGCGTCAGGGAACCCCACAGGTTGTTTTGGGGGAGACACTGATTTTAACTCTCTGCCAGACAGAAAGAGAGAAAACCAGATAGAGAGAGCTCCTGGACGCCCAACGTGATTCCTTCTATGCTGTTTTAGGAATAATTGTAGCAGCACACAGATCAAGTAGAACCGACCCCGAAGCTTTTTTGGCATCTACATGTATCCTGATGTCAGTGAGTACTTTTACAATGTGTGCCTCAGTGCTGTGATTAGCCTGAAAACCAAATTGAAACGTTTCCAACTTATTGTTTGAGTTGTGGTTTCACAAGTGAAGTCTTAAACGTTGTGGGGAACATGCCTCGCTGCATCCAATGATTAACAACTCCCGTCATTTACTGCATGTCAAACCCCCAACTCCCCCCACGTCTCCCTTCTCTCTCCACAAGCTCGATTGAATAAAAGCGTCGGTTTACATATTTTAAAAAGGACATTTAAGATTCAGTCAAAGCTGCATGAAGATGGTTTCAGTTTTGCTACTTGTGCGTTTCAGCGCCAACCACACGATGAATATCTGGCTGAGCTGCTCGCTGTTTATTCAACTGTTTATCAGCGTAATGGAGTTTGATACTCGACCTAATGTCTGTATATCCAAACAGCACTTATCGGAAAAGTGCTCTCCGAGGAAGAAACTATGAAACAATGGATCCTGAGCAGAGAAAATAGGACAATAAATCTAATTATTTGTAATAGAACATCGGTAGAGCACACATGTCCACCAAGGCCCAACAGTCTCCTTGTGACACAACATTTAATTTCACTAGATCCAGATTTTTATTTGCTTCTGCACCAAATTCACACACTCATTGATATCAGTCCCCTAAATGTGCCTGCTCTGTCCTTCAGGATCAGTCAGTTCTCCTGCTCATGAAAATGTAAATAAAAGAAAGTGATTTTTCCTGTAATCTGTCCTGTAGTTTTCGTGTAATCATTCTCAAAAATGAACCAACCAACAAAGAGACGGGGGGGAAAACATAACGATGTGATAAATAGAATTTATCAGTGTGAATTAGAGCCGGTGAGGAGCATGAAAGCTTCATAAACAGGAAAGATTAAAAAAGGTAGAAAATGAGAGGCCGGCCAATAAACGTGAAAGAGTCAATCAGTAAATTCTGGGGTTGGAAAAATCAGAAATGTTGTGTTTAAACATTTCATTCAAAGTGTTTTTTTGTGTTTTATCTTTTTAAACTTCAGTAGTGGAATCATCAGAGGCTGTAACTAATTATTTCCAGGTTTTTATTGTCATATGCATAAATAACCAGTGATCAATATAAGAAAGGAATGAAATATTTAAAAAAAAGGTTTACTAAGATAAAAACACATCATACGCATACTTCAATATATAATGTGTTTTTAAATAATCAAACTGGAGGAGGAATGGTAATCTGGTCTCTGGAAATACGTGCGGAGAAGTTTTTTTTTTACCAGAACATTTGTTGTTGTTGAAAATCACAAATTTTACATCAATGCCTTTGAGAAATTTAATGAACTCAACCAAAGAAAAAACATCGGCGTCTGATGGATCAAGGTTGTTATACTCGAAATTATAAAATGCTCCGAGGTGAATGTCTCGACCCTTTTAAAGTTTCAGGGAACGTTGGAGCTGCAGGATTTGTCAGAAAACATTTGTTCGGATTATAATA